AGGAGGACATCTTTGGAAGAATAACATGTCATCTTTTGCTGTGGGAGCTAAGTGGCCCCACTGAAGCTATTCAAGTATACAGGTGATAATGTCAGGATTAGATGTATATTTTTCATTTAACGAGTGCTATAAACCACAATGTCTATCAAGCTTTCTTCCTCTTTAAATAAGGTATTGGCAAAGAACGGAAGGCCAGAAGCTGAGCTGTAAGTTTGATCTCACAGGCATGAAAGTGAGTTCATGGCTGCTGACTTCACTTCTTTTGTGTGTTTGAATGAAATACTAAAATTGTGTTTGCATTTGAGCAGCCCACAGCTGTAGAGATCTCAACTGCAGAGATCACTGCAAGTTGCAGCACAGCAATGAAGTTAAAGATAACCATAGAGGAGGCCTTTGTCTCTGAATTCCAGCTGTTCATTTCTTACTTCAAACACTTGCAAAAACATACAGCCATTGCCTCTCCTTAAGTTTCCTCTAGCTGTCTGCTTGTCTGCTGTGTTCTGAGAGGGGAAACAAAGCTAGCTAAGAGGTGCAAAGATAGCTGAAAGCAGTCTTCACCTCATAAGTTAAAAAGGATTTAATAAATAAATACAAAATGCTATAGGCAGTTTCTGAGACATATATACACATGCATCTATGCATTTTCTCAGTTCCTGACCTCTGTTTTTGTATATTTATTTCAAGACATTTAAAGTACAAATGTGTTCCTCGCATTAAACAGAGCATATGTCATCATCTACTTAAAGCAGAAATATTCAGCATGTGTTTGTCTTGTTTCCCAATATATCTGAACACTGTTTATATTCTTTATAGTGTCATTTCATATTTACTGTGTACCAAACACCCTATGAGCTACATTCAAACAGGAGAAGAGATGGAAGCATTGCACATTTGTTTACAGTTAGCCATTAGTGTTTTTTAATCCTAGTCCCACCTTCTCTGTGACAGTTTTCCCTGGGTGGAAAGGGGCTGGTGGCTGAGGGGTGTGGAGTTGTGTGTGCATGAAGCATGGGATGTGGTCTACTGAGGATTAGCATCCCCTCCTAGACAGCTAATGGTCCTGGCTTAATAGTTCTGGTGCCTGGTCCTGATTCTCTGAGCTTGGGAGACATGGCCCAGAACCTGCAACAAAAAACACCAAGGAGCAAGTAGAAATCCAGCAGCCCACCAGGGTGTTGGGCTTGCCATCATGCCACTAGGCAGCTGTGTGTCCTGGCATGGGGTCAGGACAGGGCAGCCCAGGAAATGCCTTCTCTTTTCCTCAGCTGATAGCAGAAAAGGGCTAGATCACATCCGAAAGTCTGGCTTTGACGCTCAGTTACCATTACTAAAAATATCTCTACTTAAAGAGATACCAAATTGGTGCTGCCAGTTCCACTGTAGGGTCTTAGGTGAACACCTAGCATTGCAGCAGAGAGCATGTGCTTTTGTTTGGCTCAGGTAGCTAGAAGCAAAGGGAAAAGAATCAAAATACCATGATCTCCTCAGTTTTTTTCTGTGCTTCTGCATTTAATGAGGTAGCTGATGGCAATCAGAGGTGCTCCCTTTTCCCATTGCAACCCTAGGGTGAACCCCTCAGTGATCATAAATTCATCCTCTGGCTGCCCTTTCCTCATGACTAGAGTGAAATGAGGCAATAACCTCATTTGATTTGCACATCCCACAAAACTTGCTAGTGAGGTTAGAGACCTCTGTATAGCTGATTTAGGCCTGCTGGTTCCGGGCTGGCTTTTTCATACACTGGGTAGATGTATGCTGCATTCCTGGTGAACCCCTCAGTGATCATAAATTCATCCTCTGGCTGCCCTTTCCTCATGACTAGAGTGAAATGAGGCAATAACCTCATTTGATTTGCACATCCCACAAAACTTGCTAGTGAGGTTAGAGACCTCTGTATAGCTGATTTAGGCCTGCTGGTTCCGGGCTGGCTTTTTCATACACTGGGTAGATGTATGCTGCATTCCTTTCCAAACCACTGAAGTAGATGAGTATTAGAAATCTGATGTCGATGGATTTAAAGAGAAACAATCTGTTCAGTATGAGAAGTACATATATGAGCTAACAGTATGGTTGTATGGCTTTATTTTTCAAATTCTGCAAGTAGAAATTCGTTCTAAATTTGGTATTTTGTGCACAGTTCCTAATGAGATGCCAGAAATGACAGAGTGCAGGCACCTTGGCAGTAAGGATTAAAGCTGATCAAGTGAACTTTGCATACCTGTGATCTGAGAACTTAAAGAACATAGCATATGGCACTTATGTCCCAGAGGTGAGCACAAACTGACAGGGAAGCATGATGCAAGCCTGAGCTATGTTCCAGAGAGGGAAACAGTTGGATTTATGGCCTTGTACATTTCTACCTAGTAACAAGTGAGGTGGGTTACACCTACTAGGCACCTTGAATTTCTTAGAAAAATGGTTTTCTGAATATTGATGAAAAAAAGTTGGTTTTTGCTTGTTGGTAAGGAAAAAACCAAATGACTCAAAAGATTTTGGACAGTACATTCTTATAATATAGATAGCAAAATGGCCACTTTGTTTGGCTTGGATTTGACAACTTGATATTAGCATTAGTCTGAAAATAGAATGGTCTTTTCTCTAGCACAGTAATACTGCAGCTGTGTGTCTGCAGGTGATGATGTCTCTACATGGACAGTAAATACACCTACCAAAGCTGTGAGTCAAATGAAGTCCTGAAGGTTATTTAGTCACCTAACTTGAAGCTCCATTTCCTAACTGCTGTGGCTGTAGTGGCTTTCATGGAAGTTAGTAGGCTATCTCATTATTTCAGTTCCCTTTTTACAAAATTGCTTCAAATCTGTACTTTCTGCATTGCTGTGAACATTACGAACCAAGTACAGAGAGTCAGGTTTTCTACTTGTTTGCACTTCTGTTAATCTGTTTCACAATAGGATCACAACCAGTTAGCACAAATCAGAAGCTGTTAGTGTTTGAACCATGCTACTCCCTGAGGATAAAACTCTTCCATTTCCCCTCCATTGTAGAAAATGTCAGAGAGCTTAGCAATTCTTGGAAGTTAAGTTATATATAGTGATTTATCTTTCAGAGATTATCTTATCTTAGAATATCCTGAGCTGGAAGGGACCCTCAAGGATCATTGAGTCCAACTCCTGGCCCTGGACAGGACAACCCCAAGAATGAAACCATGTGCCTGAGAGCACTGTCTGAACACTTTCTGAACTCTGTCAGGCTTAGTTCTGTGACCACTTCTGTGGTGAGCCTGTTCCAGTGGCCAGTCACCCTCTGAGTGAAGAACCTTTTCCTAATATCTAACCAAAACTTCCTCTGACACAGCTTCATGCCATTACTTTGGGTCCTGTAACTGGTCACCAGAGAGAAGAGATCAGTACCTGCCCTTCTGCTTACCCTCATGAAAAACCTATAGATTGTGATGAGTCCTTCCTTCAGTCTTCCCTCTCCAGACTGAACAAGCCAAGTGACCTCAGCTGGTTTCCCTTCTAGACCCTTCACCATCTTTGTAGCCCTCCTTTGGATGCTCTCTAATAGCTTTATATCTTTCATTATGGCACCCAAAAATACACACAGTACTTAAAGTGAGGCCTCATCAGCACAGAGTAGAGCGGGACAATCACCTCCTTTGGCCAGCTGGCAATGCAGTGCCACATGCACCCCAGGACACAGTTGGCCCTCCTGGCTGCCAGGGCACACTGTTGACTCATATTCAACTTGCCACAGGCCAGAATCCCCAGGTCCATTCCAATGACACTGCTTTCCAGCTTCTTGTTCCCCAGTCTATATGTGTACCCAGGGTTGCCCTGTCCCAGGTGCAGAAATCAGCACATGACTTTGTTAAGCTTCATACAGTTGGTGGTTGCCCAGCCCTCTAATTTTTCTAGGCCTCTCTGCAGTGACTCTCTGCCTTCAAGGGAGTCCACAGCTCTTCCTGATTTAGTAGATGATTTTTAGTTTTGAGTATTTTTTTTTCTATTACTCTGGAAGGAAATTTTCCATCCTTACAAAACTGAAAAAAAAAAAAGGAATTGGTTTTCCTGGGGAGATGGCTGTGCTGGAATGATTTTCATGTGAAGGAATCATAAGTCACTCGCAGAGCACCACACATTTCAAATGCCTTTATCTTATTTTTAGTAATAGAGGTGCTCGTTGTACTAGCTTGTTGGATACAAATCCAGGGGTATACATGGGAATAAGGCCAGTGTGTTTTTATCAGCAGATCACCAAGAGTCTGCAGTGCACAGAGTGATGACACTTCAGTAATTGTATTGATTCTCTCTCTGACTATTGCTGGACTTTCAGTTTGGGCTCTAATGAGCCAAGCTATCATACCCATTTTCAGGTGACTGATGCAGATAACCAAATGAAAAATTCCTTTAAATGAAGCCCTTCCTCAGCTGGGTTACCACATGCTACCAAAAATATGCAGGATGCAGAGCTCCCACATTTCCAATATTACCTTGTCAGCTGGAATACAGCAGTGGAGAGTACTGTGCTTGGACTGATTCAGGAATATTATGCTGAAGGACCTGTCCTTACAGAGAGTGTTTATTTAATTGTGTTAAGGCCAAATCCAGAAAACACTGTAGAAGTCAAACAAGGAGAATACTGATACATGTAGTGTTTGAAAGGCTCTGGCCTTCTTTGCCAGTTTCTTACCAGGAAAGCCAAATTACAAGTGACAAAAGTTGTAACTAGTATTGCAAGGCTTTTATATAGGTATTCTTATCCTTTGACTGTTTTGTACTATCAGCTGGTCCAGTGGGTTCAATATTGTCATTTTAAAGTGAACTTTTAAATACATAATTACATGGACCTGAAGTAAAAACTATATAGTAATGTCTAATATAAATAAGGTGTTATATTTCAAGTGCATCAGCCAAACTTAAAATAAGAAGATCTGATAATGCGAAAGTTAAAAATAGAACCTTTCCCTTTTATTAATTTAAAGGTAAAAATATACTGTGAAAGGTTATATTTAGGCTCTTATTTTTCTTTTTTAACAGGATTGGGAGTTTCCACATTTTATGGGTGATGTTGAAGTGAATCTTCCAGGCTTGCCCTCTGCACATATGCAGTTCAAAATCCCTTATTTCCAAAAGATATTGAAAGAGGAATATCACATACATATAACAGGTATGTAATCTTACAGACTGTGAAACAGTCACACAGTGAACAGCTTCTGTGTAATAAATGTATACTACCATGTTCTTAACCATGTACTTTTGTGTGTTTGTGTCCCAGATTACATTTTTCCTATCTCTGTGTCCATATCCATGTCATTCATATATAAACATCTCAAGGAAATGAGGAACCCATATCTTACAGGTCAGAGAGACCTGCTGTTCTCATGGATTTCAGCAACTTCTTGTGACACTAAGTAATACCTAATGTAGCTTCTGAGATCTTCTATCTAAATTACTCTCCAGGGGAATTAGCAGCTTATTTCATCTCCAAATCTCTTATGCTTTGAGATGACTTTGCTATGATTTATGCTAATATCTTTTCATAACTTCGGTCATTCTCATCTGGCAAAGGCCACACTTAACAATACTTCCATCAGTCATTTAACCAGAAGCAGACAGTGAAATAACCTCAAATAAAATAGAATTGCAGTTATTCAAATGGATGGTACATATAGATAAAAAGTACCTGATCCTTGCATACTGTGAGTCAGTATTTTTATAACAATAGGGAATGAAAAACGTAGTAAGGTTAAATAGGGATAAATATTTTGGTTTTACCTTCTATAAATAGCTTCTATACCTTCTGTATCTATAGCTACGCAGAAGGACAATAGTTCCTCTGTCTACACTGAAAAGATATGGATAACAATGGATATCAGAAGGATGCAGGTGTGAACTGGCAGGAGTCTTTAGCGGCTGATATAAACAGTCACAGCACATGACACTGCACAGGAATGAGATAGATGAGGGCATCCAATGACAGAGCCATATGAATCTCCTGTGGATCAGGGACAAAAGGAGCATTCAGAGATGACACAAAGGTACGGCCAAGTGCTAGCAGGTGAGTCACAAGCTCACCAGAGAGCAAAAGCCAAGGGAAGAAAATGTGCCAAGGAAGAAAGAATGATGAACCCAGCACTCAGTGGAGACAGACTGAATGACACTTCAGAAAAGGCATTTTCAGCAGAGAAGGTAGAGATGAGATTCAAAAACAGAATAGATGATACCATTTGTGCAGAAGTTACCTGCTGGCTATAGAATGAGGGAAAGCAAATGGGCCAGTAGGAAGTACAGATAGTGGAATGGAAAGTTTTACAAAATTGGATGTAGGTGCCCTGCTGGAATACTGAGAGATGACTGGCCAGCAAGGAGAAAGAAGGGCTGGGGCACGTCTGAATGAGACCATTTAAACCACTAGTGGTTTATGGAATAGGACGAAGTAAATGGTCTCCTATCAGTGACTAGAAGGTGTACAGTGAAAGAAGATGGGATGGGCACATGATAAACACATTTTTGTCTCCCAAGAGAGCAAAAAGGGAAAGGGGGGAGGGGCGGGGGCGGGGAGAGTATGAGCATCAAATATTTTATGTGAATTATAGGTATTCAGGGATAGCAAAAAAAAAGGTGGTTTTTTCCTTCTAAGGACTAGAGCATGAATTTAGAGGGGCTTAGTCTCACAATGTTTCCAGATGCCCTGCAGTTATTCCATTGCATAAGGAGAAGTAATGTAATAGATGCACAGAGGAGTGTGAACAATGACTGAAGTATGGTAGGATGGGCTGTGCCATCAGAGGCAGAAACTCAGGATATAATTAATGCAGATGAAAAAAAGTGTGTGGTAGTAGAGGGATTGAAGAGCAAAGAACAGTTTTGCATTGTAGAAGAGGGAACATCCCAGGGACATTGATGATAATTGGGGAAGAGCAAAGAATGTAAAACAGCGTTCAGAAATGCAACTGCTAACAGTGCTGCTATTTGAAAATGGGCCAGCCAAGAGAAACCAATATTTGTGCATTGTAGGGTCTTCTGCAGACAGGACTGGAGGCCTTTCTGATTTTCTGGCAAGGAGGCATACTTTTAATGAGGAAGAGATAATGAATGGAGGCTGAGGAATATTTTTCCCTGCTCAGCATTAGCCAGATCCATTTATTAGATTCCCTAGACAAATCAATCCATTTGACTGCACATCACGTACCCTGTCTACTGAGCGCCTGTTTTATCTCAGTGCTACACCACCCTTTAGGAGATCTAATAAACAACTATAACACATGGCAAAAGAGCCTCCCTTTGGGTACGTTTTGCTTGAACCATCTGTTCTTGCCATCAGTTCTTGTCTTAGGTTAGGGTATCATGTTGGATCATTTTCAAACTCTAGTTATTGTGTGGCTGTGTAGATACTTGTAATACTCTACTCAAATAAAGAGCTAATGAAAGAAAGAACTGGTTCAATAGATATATAACAAGATGAATATAATCCTGTATAAAATGACAGTAGAGGGTGATGCACATGAACACAACTCCAGCAGAGGACGTGGGGGTATGACTCTGATAACAGCAGAAAGCCCACTGCATTTAAGCCCTGTTTAATTCATGGGGTCCAGAATGTTAAATTCAACCATAGTACTTCTTTTAAGTAACAAGTAGGGTAAGAAATGAAGGTTGATGATGATGATGATGATGATGATGATGATGCTAATAATAATGTTTATTTTAGTACTTGCTGTATAGCTAAAGCCAGACTGTAAATCTATGACTTGTGCTCCTATTTTTAGAAACTGGAACCCCCTTTTTTCTAAATAGCAAGGAGAATGAAAGCATAGCTGAAATAACATGTGCCATCTTTTTCCTGGCAAAATTTTGTGCTTCATAAGTTCTTTTACAGTCTGTTGATTAAAGAGCAGCCCTGTTTGATACTGGTTGTTCTAATAAGCAATGGTCTCACAAAGAAGCAGCTCGAAGATGAGGGACATTCAGACAAGTAAAGTACTTCAAGCCACCTTTCTGTTCATTTGTACAGATGAAGGATTTCACAGTTACGTGCTCTGTGTTGCCAGCTCTCCTGATTTTATCACATCTTAAGACAGTTGCTTTTCTTTTTCCTTTTTTATTATGCTATGTTGCCTTAAAGTCTTACCTTCTGAATTCAGTGAGTACATGGGAATTCCAGCTTTCATAAAATAAAGCTCATGATTGCAGATAAAAAAATTACATAGTGCTTCTGCTTAATGTCTAAAAAGGCAGATAAATAACCTTTTTATATTTTTTTTACTTTATTTTTGACCCATCTTGCTACTTGAGATTAATAACATGCTTTCTTAGGCCTGACTTGCAATTTCTGAATATTGTAAGTTGGCAATAGTATTGAATGAACATTTCCAGCCTGTAGCTGATATGCTTCAGTGTAATTTTAAATTTACTATCAAAAGCATATCTTATTTTTTACTGGTAACCGAATATCTCATTTTACACACATTTCCTTGCATCTAGGAACTCCTGGCAAGCATCTACTGAGTATTAAATATTTTCCTCCTATTTTGATAGCCGCTTTTATCTATAAACATCAAAAATAACTTGAATTCTTGTATCTGCTTAACTCATCTGGATTTCCCTTGGCAGATGGTTCTTTGCAAAGTGTGTGTTTTCCTTTTCAGGCTGATGTTTATGAAAATACATAGTCTATCCTAGTTTCTGTAATACCCAGGGAAATTTGTAAAACTTAAAAGTAAATTTTGTTACTTCAGATTCTTTCATGGTTAAAAGGCACTGGGGGGATCTGGCTGGTACCCTTTAATAGCAGCACTGGAGATCCAGGAGCATCTGCTATCGAGTGTGAGGATAACTTTCAAATAGAAAATGTTAAGATTTGGGTATCAAAACAGATGGGAGATTTTTCTGGCTGTTTATAATGTGTGTGTGAGTGCTGATGTAGCTCAAGTGCTCTTCCACCCAAAGGAGAAATCATCACCTTCATAGCTGGGGAGTGCCTAGCATGGCTGGCTTGTGGTGTTAAACCCACAGCCCAAACATTATCTACACAGAGTAGCATGTGGGAGTCCATGGCAAAAATAGAAAGGTCAGAGGTAAAAACAAAGTTGTCCATGCACACAGATGTGAAAAATACCTCAGAGGATTTGCAGCTTAGGTCAACTGTGAGTGTTCTGTCTGTATGCATGTGTCTAGCTAATAACACTAATGTGGCAGAAGATAGAACATTTCAAATGTTTTACAGAGGTGTCTGAATGGTCTTAGACACAAGCTGCAGTTGAGATAAGAGTATAAACTCAACATTTCCTACATTAGCCTCTGGCTGTGGTTGCACAGCATGAGGCTGATTGAGTCTAGCCTTATTAAGTGGAATTTTCATATTTCTGCTTGACCTCAGGAAGGATGCTGAGGACTGGCTTCTACAAGAGATCCCTTTTTTGAGTCATGAATGGTCTGTTCCAGAGTGGACATGCAAAAATAAAACTGCTTCAGAATCAGCAGCTGGTTTGAAATATTAGGATATATTCCAAGTGTTGCATGTGGGATTCTGGACTGGTTGCTGACCCATAGGCCTTATCGGCCTCTTTTAAAATGACCACTGCTCAAAAATCTTGTTGAACTGGTGTAAACATGTGCCTTTCTGGAAGAGGGAAAAATAGAAATCTATATCTCTTTCAACATGAGAAGGCCCCTGGCATTCATGTGTGGTGCACAGTTGTTCAGCTTCAGCTGAGGGGATAGTGTCTCTAAGCAGAGTTCTATAGAGGCTGGTGTTCAGAGCATGGTCCTATGATACAAATCCAAACTGCCAACATGGAGGTTGTTCTAGGATCAAGGTTTCCCTTCTGGTGAGTGCCCTAGCCAGGAGGATACAATCCTTTTCAACAAACATCCTTTCTCAGAAAACAGGGATTGAATTTTCATCCTCAAATACTGCTTGTAGGCTACAATGCCTATAAAAACATTTCACATTTTGCATCACAGCCTGACAAGGACACTCACACTCTTGGGTAACTACATACCTCCAATTTGCCTTTTTGGAGGTCTTTATTGCACCCAATTTCAGTATTGCCCCACATTTCCAAACACATGAAATCAGAATCCTGTCTCTCCAAATATGAGGTGTGGCATGTAAGAGTGTCAGTGCTGTGAGAGCCAGTTATTAACTAGGTCTTTTGTTAGGTAGTGCATGGCTGAATGACACAAACTATTTTCTCACATGATTTTCTTCATTGTAACTTCACTGAAGACAGAGTATAATTCTTTTCAGTTTGCTGAAATGACTGCCTAGCCTTCCAGTCTTGAGACCTGAACTTACTACATCCTTCCATTTCAAATTTTGTCTATGAAAATATCCACCTTCCATCCAAGAAAGGCAAAGTGGGGCCAGGTGTATGCCAGTATTCTTGGCTACACATATTTCACTGGAGTAGAGACAACCCTAAAGCAATAGTGATGCTGATCCTACAGAAACTGGTTAAGAGACAAATTAAATTACTTCATAATGTGGGGCTCCAATTTTTCTTGCCACTTTTCAGCTAGAATTGAGGTTGAAATATACTTAAGTAAAATCAATACCTGTAGCTTCATAATATATTTGTTCTGACCCTTTGTGAAAGTACAAACTTGGGCTTGTTTATGTACTAGGTGAGAGGTCATGACTGACTTTTAATTTTACTAAGCTTATTTCCTATATAAGTTTGATACATATATGACACAAAGTTTGCTATAAAAAATTATGCTGAAACTAAGTTGCAATCATTTCATATACATCGGTTATACAAATGTATAATGTTAAAGGTTGGTCAATATATTAAGTCTCAAAAATTACTTGTCATGGGGAATTATCAAATAGAAGTTTGTGGGTGGAGAGTGTCAGGCCTCTTATTTCAGTCTGCTTCAATTCATCTAGAATGCCTGCTAGTACAGCAGTAAAGTACATATCTTGGAAGAGGGATAGACAGCAGAGGACACTGTATTCCAAAGAGAGGCAAATACTTTCTGTAAGTAACCAAGACAGCACTAACTCACAGTCATTTTGTGTCTAAGGAGATTAACGCAGCCCTTGGCTACAGGGATTACTGAGTAGGAGCAGAAAGATGTCATTGTGCTCATATATGGTTATAGTGAGACTGTTACTCATACACAGCCTTTGGATTTGGTGGCAACAGTATTCAAAAGAAAAGGAAAAGTCACAGAGTTCATCATGCATGACAGTGGATAGAAAAATTGTTTAGAAATGAAAAATTTCAGGAGTTTTGAGAAGATCCACTGTAGAACAGAGGCAGTTCTCAGGCAACTAGCTGCCACTTAGACATACAAGTTGCAATTCATCTTTGTTAAATGGAGTGATGGATCTAAGCTGTTTGTATAGTCCACACTGTGCCAGCAATCCCAACAGCAGAGCTTAGAGCTGTGCTTCTGCCTTCCTAACTCTGTCTGGGTGCTGAGTGAGGGAGTTTCAAGTTCATGCTTTTTATGAAACAGGAATAGCATATCTCAGATCACGTGAGCACTTAAATTCTTAATATAAAAGGGATGGAGCCTTTTATAATGTGGATCCATTTTAGAAAAGATTCACTATTATGAAAACACAGAGATGCTCCATGAAGCCTGAAATCAAGCACCTGGCATTGATCTCAATCAGTTCAGCATTTTTAGTGCTTTCTGCCAGCTTCTTAGTCAACTTCTTCACCAGCAGCAAGCTGCCATTTCAGGTCTTACTCCTTATGTGTCTTGCTTTACACATGTTGCACTTAGGACAATGTGGTCACACAGGTGTTGCTGTGAAATCCAGTGGGTGCCATAATGCCTAAAGAGGATGTAGGTCATAGCTCAGCATTGCAAACTCTAGGTTTCCTTTGTCAGTCAGACCTGAAACCTACAATCAAGAAAACCATAGCAGTGTATTTTGGCCTTTGTAAACGCCATCTCAATAATATCTCAATGTCATTATGCTTCATGTTTTGATCTTTCAATTGTCTGTTTTCTCCCTACCAATATTCAGTCTTGACATATCTAGCTGAAGGGAAAGATCAATCCTGGTCCTACGTGAGTTTTTCCTCTTCTTGCCATCCCTAGTGTCTAGCAGATCTCACTGAAAAGTAATCTGTCTTGGCTCTGCAGAAGCACAAAGGGCCACAGATAACAATTTGAGGAAGCCAACAACAAAAGAAGTGCAAAGTTTTTTTGGATGGGCTTGGGATGCATTTTCTTTGAAAGAGTATGGCTTAAGGAATTAACTTTGTGACAATTCAGCAAGGGGTTGCTTTCTAGTTGAAACACGGAGTAATATTTGATTCCAAATTATAATTTTATAAAGTGTCCAAGTGAACCATAACAAAGAAAGGAAGTTTTGAATGCAGTAGATCATGTTCTCTTGCAAACCATAAATAAACAGATAATGGTTCTAGTATTTGTTTCATTGCACTTTGTGTTTACCTGTTTTTCCTAATGAAATGAGCATTATGTGGTCATGTTCTCTGTGTGGGTTGGTCTCACTCTCTATCAAACACTCAGCATAAAATAAATTTCAAATCCATGGCCATTTTTAAAACATTTTCAGACAGAGGGAATCTGAAAAATCCTGACATTATAATTGTGCCCTAAGAAATTGTGGTTAGGTAAAGGAGAATCATCTGCGTTAGTATCCAGCTGAGGAAAAAGCAAGGAGAAAACAGCCATTATATTCAGTTTGACAGCACCTATAGATAAGTTAATATATGTGTCCCAGCAGCCCATTAACACACACTATGCAAGATGTGTCCTGTGTCTCTCTGTTGAAAGATAGACATGATGGGGAAACTAGAGTTATTCTGATGGAAAGAAACACATGAAATACCGAGCAAAAATCTGCAGGAAATGTCAAGTTACACTGCATTGCTTATTTTATTTCATACTTTAGTATCATTTTCAGTATATTGGTGTTGATCTAAGAAACTTACATAATATAAAATGTGATGATAGTCTCCTAAACCCATAATTTTCTTTAACAGGTCAGTTATAATATTCACAAAATCCCAGAGGGAAAAGAAAACATAAAATGGTTTTGGTTGGAAGGGACCTTAAAGATCATTTGGTTCCAACCTCTCTGCTGTGAGCAGGGACACCTTCCACTAGACTCATTTGCTCAAAGCCCTATCCAGTTTAGCCTTGATAGAGGAGTTATTCAGAAATTGTGTGAACAGAGTTGGCTACAAGATCTTTTCAGTGCAGTTTGGTTCCTGAGTAGTGACAGTAGCACAAGAGAGTGAACATTCCTGTTCATTTTCAATCATCTATTTAATCTAAACTGAAGAGGACTATTAAGCATAATGGCTGAAATACAAGAAGTTATTGTCCTTATCCTCTTAGAGAACTCTGGTCATACAGTTTGAACACATGGATTCTCAGGAACTGGAATCCATTTATTCTTTGCAAGTCAATAGCTTAAGCAATTTGATAGATCCTCTGATACATTCATCTTTTTTTTTCACTTGAAACATACTCAAATATGATTTCAGCATAGAGCAATAGCATTCATCACCAGCAGGAACATTCCTCCATGAATGTCCTTTCAGATAATGCTGACGTGTAGATTTGCCAGGTTCTTGGGTGGTGGCAGTCATCACTGCACAAGTAAGATCTTAACAAATGTCCAGCTAGAACATAAGACATGCTTCAGCTATGAAAGTAGTATCATTTGGTTTGTGTATTCATAGAAAAATTTAGGATAGTAGGGAAACCTTGAGTTCCTCTCTTCCAAAAACCCTACTCAAAGCAGGGGCAACTTTGTAATTGCATGAATATATCTTTAATGTCTTTTATATGCCTGTAGGAAGCATGCAAAAGAGCAATTTTAAATAATGAAAGGAGACAGGTTTCCTTCTCCAGTATTGTAGGAGCTTAATGTTAAGCTATGAGTCACTCCTTGGAGGAGTTTCTCACCACATGGATTATAAGAATAACTGAGCTGACTAGGCTCTGCGGTCTACAATCAACCCTTGCTATTTCTCAAGGGTATGATATCTCTAAATCACAGTTTATCTGATTGTCCCTGCCTGAATATGTCTGCACACTGTGGTTGGTATATCAAACATCATAAGTATATACTCTTAAAATTTACATTACTACCAACCTCAAAAATTTCAGACCCTTCAGACATTTCTGGAATATAAATTATTCTAACAAATATGGCCTTTTCATGGAAAATTTCCATATGAATATTTTTTAAGCCATGAAATTAATGCTTTTTTAGGTTTATTGGTCTATGCCACATTACCTAGAGGTCTAATCAACTGGTCACCTACAAACAGCAATGTCAATTGAATTGATATACTGCTGTGTTTGTGTTACAAAATTACTTCTTTAAGTGTCAAGACCTAATTGTGAAATACTAAGGGATATTCAGCATAAATCTGCCTATGGTGGAAATTTCTTTGCAACTTTGCTTTACAGATTAATGAAAAAGAACTTTTTTACTCTAAGTAGCTTTCACTTATGATTGCATTTGTATTGCTTCTTAAATTGATACATCAGATGACAGAACTTTCTTTTTCCAAACAGGCAAATGGTTTAACTATGGAATTATCTTCCTTGTTTTAATCTTGGATCTGAATATGTGGAAGAACCAAATATTTTACAAGCCTCATGAATATGGTCAATATATCGGTCCTGGCCAGAAGATTTACACAGTGAAGGACTCAGAAAGCTTGAAAGACCTTAATAGAACTAAGTTATCTTGGGAGTGGAGATCCAATAACACTAACCCGTTGACAAACCGGACCTATGCTGAAGGAGACATGTTCTTGCACAGCAGATTCACAGGCTCTAGCCTTGATGTCAAATGCCTGGCTTTTATTCCAAGTTTGCTGGCTTTTGCTTTGTTTGGTTTCTTCATCTGGTTCTTTGGGCGATTTCAGAAAACTGACCAAGGCATGGAGAATTTAGACAAATCGTACACAAGAATGAAACGAAAGTCACCGTCAGATATGGGAATGACACGCGAAAATACACAGGTGTTAGAAGAACCATTAAGTTTTCAAGAGCCACATCTGGTATCCATAAAATCAGACTTAAGTGAAATAGTTTTTAATTCTTCCCTCCTAACTTCTGAAAACTTGAACGCACAACTGAATGAACAAGATAGCCCTTTACAGCCAGTCCCAGAGTCCTCTGTCCCTAACAGTAATCCTGTGACATAGAGGCAAATACCCAGGAAAATCAGTTTAAATAAGCAGTTACTATAAGATTTCAGTTTTACTTTTTGTAAGTTAAGATTTACATAGTGTTTAGAATAAGAACTCAACCTATACCAAGAGGTGCTCAGCATGCTTTTTCTAGGAATTTTGGGTTTTATTTGTATTATAGTATGTGCCTATTGTATATCTAACATTCCTTTATAGATTGCTTCCCAAAATTGCACAAGCTATTTATTGATACATTACCTTAACTGTATAATAGTGTATTAGATGATTACTTGCAGGTATAAAATTCTACCGTGGTGGTGCCTTGAGACATTAAACTGTTTTCTAACTCAACACTAGGTGTATTGCACAGTTCTTCTAATCTGTTTTGCAAAGCTTTTTGTATACGCTTGTTTCAAGTATCATTTGATGTCTTGACAGAGGAGATAAATATAGTTATTTCTAAAGAAGGTTTTCTGTTAGGACACCACAACTTGACTTTGTTATTTATTCATCTGTGAAGCCATAGGCTTTGATGACCAGACTGCAGAGAAGCATGTTGATTACCTTTTAATTTTGCTGGCTAACTGCCAAACACAAATACAGATTTATTATGCAGTAAACAGGCAGAGAGATAATACAGCATGGGTCACTACTTATGAAAATATGAGTTTCTCCATCAGTAAGAGCAATTAGGTGATAATGCCTAATTATGTTTTTCCTAATTAAAGATAAACTGCTCCTTGATTGAAAGTTTTGCCCTTCACCTTTTAGAAACAGAGGCAAAAATACATGCTTGAAGCAATTCTTTCCATCATCACACCAAACTCATGCAACATCAAAGAGCCATTGGAGTGATTACAGTAAACGACACAAAGCCCATTAAATAGAGTTATTTTTGCAATTCAATGCAGATATGGTCTGTGTGAAACATACATGGTAACAGACTGCATATAGACAGTCTAACTTCTCCATATACTGAAGAAATGTTTAGGGGTTTTAATTGAAATAGATTAATAGTTGAATTTTATTGTAACTTTATTTTTCTTTATTATCCATGAATATTTGTAACTCGGAATCAGAAATAGAGAGAAATGGGAGTTTTGCTATTTTGAAGGGGACTTTATAATGTGAATTTCTCTGCTGTATGATCAAACTATATGCACTAGAGAAATTGCATATCTAAAACATCAGAAAGATTCTGATTTGCCTCTAATTTAGTTCTATAAATTGTTGTTACAAGTTACTAAATAATAAGTAATTTATAAGCCTGAATGATTTCCCTGTCATTTCCTGGTGTTGCTGTATTTTGTCTTTGTGACATTTTTATCTCTGTTGTTTTTGATCTATCTGCTTTTAAGTTTTCAGAATGCTGAATTTAGCATGCATAATAGAACTATGCATTTATTAAGTGTCACTTGAGAGCCAAGTTTAATAAACATCATTCAACAATTGTTTATTATGAGGCAGGAACACATTCTGTTAGTTGTGCAGTTTTAAAAACATTTAGCCATGCATTGTCCTATTTAAACAAATAAAGATTTCTGAGAGTAGAAAAGACAGGCAGCATCACAGTAATGTCAAAATAAAATATTTTGTTTATGAAACATTTAATTTTTCATCAGGAGACATTTCATGTTATAATCATACTAAATTTTTATCCATTAAAAATTACGACTTAAAATAAATCTGTTAGCTTTTCCTGTTGCAACCTATAAACTTATTTAATTGACTTAGGATACAGTCAAAGACAAGCCATTAATTACTAATGGTAAAAGAGTGTGAGATCCTGCTTGTACTTTATAAGATATTATATATTGATGTTTGACATTCAAACAACATTTGATTTTTTGAGTAGTTATTGAAATAGCTGGTTAATTTTGCAAATATGTGCTTGTCTGTATATTTTGGACACTGTAAACCCAAGTACTGAAAATCTCTCATTAACTCATTTCTCCTTTTTGTACAGAGGAGTGGTTAAATATATTAATATGTAGGCAGATAATAAAAGAATTACTTGAGCCTTACAGTCTGCATGTTTTCACGACTCTGAGGAAACCAGATCCAGACACCTCCAGGGTTAGTGACTCCACCACCTCCCTGGGCAATCTATTCCAGTGCCTGACCACCCAGTGTCCTCCAAGCACATTCATTGTTGTCACCTGTTGTTAATTTTAAATATTCTGAAATGCTTCAGTAACTCAAAACGCTCTGAAATGCTTTCTAGTCTAGTACCTGTAACTGAGACCTTAATATAGGTGTTTGAACTTCTCCTGAAAGTCTAGCTATTACACACATTTTTTGAGGTTTTTATTTCTTTTCCTGAGGAAGTTGAAGATTCCATAGAAGGGGAGAAACTTGAAGAAGTATCAGTTTTTTCACAAACTACACATCTCCATTCTGCCCTCTGTAATGAACCATTTGACAGCTTCCATCACTACAGGGCTGGTCTGTGTCTGCATTATCAGAGATCAAGTTTGGTAATGTAACCTTTTTTTTATCATACATACACTATACAGTGATGGATGATAGTAACTGCCTAAAATAGCATATAAAGAAGAGACATCTAGGATAAGCACGTAAGATGTATGAGCCCACAGGTGCCTATAAATTGCCCTTGCATCCTCAACAATTACCTTTACTGAGATGGAAATAACATGGACCAAATAGAAGGTAAGACTTTTTGGACAAAGTATCTTAAATATAACATTCATGCTTATGAAAGTGTGTATATATCTCTAAAATCCACATGTATAAGACTTGTATGTACATGTATGTTAGGAGCCTAGAGGTGAGTTGATTCTGTTGGGAAAACTGCTGAGTTGCTCAAGCAGACAATTTACTACCACCCTTTTTATTGAACATTGCTCCATGAGTTAGATCTCCTGTGCCTCCACTTCTATTGCCAAGAAAATATAAAGCCAAAGAAAGAGCATTTAATTGCACTATCTGCTTCCCCAAATTATGTCTTTGTCTAATTTATGCTAAAGGTAAATTTGTTCCATTTTAAAAGGTTTCTGTCCTCTCCAACTTGTGTCATCATACTTTGGGCTGCTGCACTGTATTACAGTATATGTCAAATTGTTGGTTTTCCTGCATTGAATAGCATCCACCATGACAACTACCTGGAAACAAAAAGTAGACACCTCTCAAAGACTGGGAAGGCAGCAATTCAGTTCCTGACTAGACTGGCAAGTTCATTTTCCCACAAGTGAACACGTTATGACTCACTAGTAAAAGATGTAACAGACTTTCAATACAGTGCCCTTAATTTTAACAGCCTCCCAGGAGGGGCTCAGTGGGACAGGATGTTTTATTTGAGGTTATAAAGTTGAAGTAGTTACAGTCCTACAAGCACAATGTTTCAACTTTTTAGGTTATGCATAAAGGTAAACAGCTTAAACTTTGAGCAGATTGCAAGGACCGTAAAAACTAGGCAGACCACACTCTGAATAAAAACATAAAGTTGATTCACTTCTGGCTGCCCAGCACAGGATGAAGGCGTAACACACATTTATCAGATGTTTGAGTGACCCTGTGCTTGGGATTATGGACAGTGACATGCAAAGATTCAAACTGTATTTAATAACAAACAGTTGCAGTCCTTTCATCCACTGAGATGCCACTGCAAGCACCAGACAGTTAATCTCTTCTGCCGTGCAGCATTTCTCCTGTCCATCCGTTCCAAATCTCAAATGACAAAGGAGTTTTTCCTTTCCCTGGGCACTTAAAACTGTTCTTTGGAAAGCCTGGGCTCCCTAAATGTGATGTGGCATGCCACTGCAATGCCTGATATACAGACTACAAGTAGGACAACCAAGAACAGGCAAAAGGGGGAAGTCTGCTCTGTGAGTTCCACGGCCTTGTGGTGAAGAAGAATGGCTTATGTGACCATTTCAGAGGCAGATTAATATAAATCGAAGTCCTATTTCCTAGGAACAGAAGGGGACAAATACAGAAACAGCAAATCCCTAGAAATCCTTTCAATCCCCTTCAGATATTCAAACAGAATTGTTCCCAAATGCTCACTAACAATTGTCAGCTTCCAGATGACTTCTGGGTGAGTAGCTCTTCTGGGTGACTAGGTTTTAACACCATCCTAGTTCCCTCCTAATACTTCCTCTACATGGGGGTTGTCAGCAGCTTTTCACTGTTTGGGGAAAGGAGTAGTTTTCTGAATGGGAAGTAGGAAAGAAATTATGAGGGAGAAGCTGCATGAGGCTGGTATTCTCCACAGAAAACTCCTTATTGTAGAGAGGAAAAGCATTAATCCAGCTGCTTTGCAGAGAGGAGTGAAGTAGAAAAATCAAATCACAGAGATACTTCTAATCTCATGCTTTTACTTTGATGTGCAGCAATTGGGGTCTGCAAAGAGCAGCTTATCCAATTCCTGCAGGCAGGTTATAGACCCAGGTCTCATGCTGTTTGTGACATCTGGAGCACTTCTCTTCATATATAATTCTTTCTCTTGTTCTTCGTCTTCCCCTTCTCCTCCCCCCTTCTCCCCACCCCTCAAATTCTGTTTCATTCTTCGGGTTTTATTTCCAATAGATTTTTATTGTTAGTGACCTAAACCACAAATCACCCATTAAAGGCTCTTAATTGCTGTTATTGATGCAGTACCATCTGTATCTATCTCCCTGCCTTTAAATGGGGATAAATGTTGCTGGTGACTGTTTCTGAGACACTGCATGCCTAGCTGACCTTTTCTTCGAGAGATTTGAGAGGACATAAAGGAATTTGGTGTGCTGGTGCTAGGTCTTTTGGCCAACAAAACATATATTCACATATGGCCACAATTTCAGTATTTAATTGTTCAAAAAATCATTTGCTGAAATAGGTATATCTTGAGCCAACAGCAGCTAGAGTTAATATATTCCAGAACTGCAGTGGCTCCAGCTGCTCCAGATAAATTTGAGGACTTTTGTGAGGTTTGTTCCCTGTCAGCTGGAGCAGCTTTGCACTTCTGAGGATGCACGTGGCTTAAATTCTGTGTCGTCCAATGATAACACAAATCT